TGTCACGTTAAATGGACCAGTGTTCTCGCAAAAATCAAAAGCGTTTCCTAAGTATGGAATATAATCAAAATCAGTACATGCAATCAATTCTCTTTTAATGGACACCTCGAGTCCCTTTCCTTTTCTTTGACTCTCTATAAGTAACCGAAAACCAAGAGTTGGAGCCTTCCATTCTTCAGTCATTTCGTTTTACATGACTTTCTTCAAAGTGGACATCTCTCTCTACGTCGAACACCTAGGGCCAGTTATTTAAACCGAGTTTAGCCTGTGTTTAACAAAACTGCGCTGTAAGCCATTTTCAGTTCGCCGAACGCTTTTATGTAAACGCCAGTTTTTGTGAACAGTTCATGAAAGCCTATGGCGTAGACTTGAAAAGCATTTGTCTTTTTAAATAACCCACTAAGGAAGAGTTCTGGAGGTCCAAAGATTTCCTAAACCGCGGTCTAAGTTAGACTTCGTTTAAATAACCGACCACTACAGTTGAACCCTTCGTTCTTCAGTCATTTTCTTTGAATTCGCTCTACAAAGCACCTCTCCTAGAGGGACACTCGGTGCTTGTCTGGACGATGTCCGTCTTACAGACAGCGATATAGGGACAAAGTAGACGAGGAACTACTCGGTGGATAAGCCTTCTACAAAGTCATTATTATTGTTTCATTATTTATTAACTTGTCCCAGGAGATTATAACTCGGAGCAAGCGACTTTCATGTACTTGTGTCACGGCGTTTTCACCGGTCAGTTTATTTTTAGAACGATTTTGACGCGAATTTAGAACATTCTAGTCCCACGAACCAATCAGCACAACCTACGGCGCTAAAAAGGACGTTTTAGTCTCATATGTTATCTTTCAAATGTTATATGTTTCTTATGTTATATGTTATCTTTCAAATATGCTCATAGATGGAACGGAGCTTCCATTTTTGCGGGGAAAAGTGCGCTAAAATGTATCTAAAAATAAACCAGCCCTTGAAAACGCCGTGACATAGGCCTAGTATGGGAGTTGCTCTCTCCAGGTCATGGGCTCCTGCTTGTCCAAAACACTTCCCCGCACGCTCCCATCAAAATTAACTGAGGACCATCCACTACGGTTACTTACCAAAATTCACTTCACCAGAGTCTGGGACTTTTGGCGGCTGGTTAATGATTGTTGGCATAATAAGAACGTCATAGAATTTCAAAGCTTTGTCGTACTCTTCATATAATTTGCGTGCTAAGTTGATCGCCTTTCCATGAAATACCCCATGACTATCTTCATGTAAAAGGGCACCCAGTATCATGGTTAATTTCCCAACAGGACCCAGATCTTTCCCACGGGTTGTGAAACCACGACCAATGGCTGCTTGAAGACTGGTGTCGACAAAGCCTTTGGCTTCTGAATTAGACCCTTTAAGAACAAATTAATGGAGAAGAAAAGTGATGACGTCACAAAACTAAATTTGTGAAATTATGAGATTGGTTGGTACATCCAGAAAGAACAGGTGAAAAATGTTCACTTGCCAAAATTCAGCCTGTTCTGTGGTGCAAATTGGTGAGGACATAATTATAACCTTTCTAGTTCTCTACAATGTAAGACAAAAGATCAGTATTTGTCTTTTTTTTAGAGGTGCTTTTCAGCTGTATCAGGATTGGTTGGGAAATCAATGAACGAAGAAACCTAGCCCCAAAACAAAACAGCTGGATATATAGGCAAACCATATAAAATATCGACGGTTATGATCTCTGAAGCTGTCTAATAAGCTGCATATTACACTCACCACTAAGTAGTCTGTAACCCCCTTCCATGCAAAGCGCGTCACATACTCTAATCCCTGTCAACGAAGCAAAAGATCAGAATTTGCGTCAAGTGGTAAGTCAAAGAACAAGAAATGATCAGGCAACCCATGCATCCAGGAGTTCACATTTCCCAGAGCGAACAACTTTCATTCGGCATTTGCAAAGAGCAGTTTCCAGTTTTATTTTTGCGTCCAAATAGAAGTGGCTTATTTGTATGCGAATCTGTTGACGTAATACCATTGAAATATGAGCAATACCATTTCCGGGCTTGGCTTCTTTGCTGTCAAGTTTGTGGGACCCCCACGATGGCCTTAATTTGCCGTAAAATTAAACTAAGTACGAACAGGTAGGTAAAAACGCCATGACGAGGGGAGTGCACATGGGAGTTGAATTAACATTCGAAGGTATGCGCCCTTGTTGTAGTGGGGACCTTACGATCCGACAACGGCGACGTCCATGAAAACGTCGTTGAAAAATAGACTTCGCGTCCTTTTAAACTTTTTCGCGACTATACCAATTTGCCCTGTTACTTAAAAGAAGAGAATTGTGGTTGGGGATGAGTAGAGGGGACCGCGCCCGAATTCAGACAGAGATGGTAGAATTCATTGCCTTGCCGTTCCCGTTCTCAAGTTAACTTAAAATTTGGTCATTTCACGTCGTAGTTGTGCAGGGACAGCAAAGAAATGTACAAAAAAGAGTGATGCACGTGCAGAGTTGTTGTCTTGCTCATCAAACCTATTGCTTTTTTGACGTTCGCCGTGCTGTCGCCGTCGTAGTCTCGTAAGGTCCCTAGTATGTCACAGACGAATACGCAAACCTTAGGGTGGATCTCCACTGTTGCGTAATTTGCACATGTGCAAATAAAATAGAGGCAATGTATGAAAGGTCACACGTAAACGTAAAACTTAAATAAACCTCGCTCAACTATTTACAAGCGTGAAATTTACGGGGGTACCCAAATATAAATTACACGACAGCGGAGATCCACCTTAAGGCAAAGACCAGCAGTTGTGTGGTCCTTGGGATAGAACATATTCATATTGCTTGTTTCACATATCAAAGGCTACAGCCTACCATCAAAATGAATTGGTACTGACACCTGTCCAACAGTAGCACCCAGTGATGATAACCGATCAGCGGCTTCTTTCACCATTGTCATAATCTTCATGTCGGCATCCGACATGTTGAATCCCTCCTTTAGCAGTCCGATACGCAGCCCGGAAATGTTACCTGTGAGCTGTAGAGGTTTAAAGGGAGACAGAGAATTAGTTTGGCTTACATATATGTCAGTGAGGAAAAGCAAATCAAGTGAACAAATCACGCGTTACCAAAGCTAAACGACAAAAAGTGAGACTTTGAGGAGGATGAGCTTGTTTGGTGGAAGTTGTGTTCTCTGGAGTGAAAAGTTGGCCTGCTATTTTGTGTCAAACAGCTTGGGTGCTGGTGGAAAGAGCTGGCCGAGGTTAGATTTCTTAACTGGTTTTGTTGACTAGCTCAGTGTTTCATTTAATAAGCATTGTTTAGCTGTCTAAAAATGTTCAAACCCTGGGAAGGATGGGGAAACCTGAACTATTGTACTTACCGAGCTGGTGTATATGGCAGGAGTGCTGAGATCACGTGGTTGCCTTGGATCCAAGTCTCCATCCGATCCTGCAACCACCTTAATGAATCAAACCACAAAGCAAGCATTCAAATGTCTAAGGACTCTTGCTACACGTGCATATATGCTTTGACAAACAACTCTCAGTGCTAATGCATTGATTGGCTTGATGCGCTCTGTGAAGGCTTATAGCTCATTTTTCTGTGTGAACAATCTAAAGCAATATTTCTTTCTGTGTAATGTATGTCTGAAACTACTCAACTTCGTCCTGATAAAGTCGTGAAGTTCTCGTTGCCTCTAAAAAGCAATTTGAAAACAAAAACTAGGTAAAAGGCTTCTTGTAATTAAACACTAGAACACACACCTCTAACACAACCATAAAAAAATTTCCTAAAGATATTTGCAAGAATCTTACTTGCGGGAAGTTTCCAGTTTACCTCTAAAAGTAAAGCCACATCTTTCATAGTTCTTGCCATCGGTCCTGTGTGATCCAAACAAGTGTGCACTGGGATTATCCCTGTGTACGGCACTAGCCCATACGTTGGCTTCAATCCAACAATCCCACAGGCAGCGGCAGGTATTCTTATTGAACCTCCTTGATCACCGCCCATAGCCATGTCTACTTTACCTCCAGCGACCTGTTAATAATACTGATTTTTATTCTACCATCAACAATGCCTTGCCCTCATAGATGGTACAGATAATTTCTCCACTTTTCAAAACACAATTTCCTTTTTTTCTTCAAGGACTTGAGTTAGATCCCAAATTGGTCTCAAAAGCACCCTTAACAAAAATATATATTTTACTCACCTGGGACAAAACAGATGGGCTAAAAAATATATACTAACAATGACACTTACCAGTGCCGCACAACCAGATGAGGATCCAAGTGCCATTCTTTTTTCATCATAAGGATTAACAACAGGACCTGTGAATGAAGTACAGCTGGTCGCAGTGAAACACCACTCCTCACACACTGCTTTACCAGTGATTGTCCCACCAGCATCCAATATCCTGGATACCACAGTTGCATCATAATCTGGGATGTAGCCTTCTAACAGATGTGAGCCGCACATCATGGGTATTCCCGCTACAGAAATGGTGTCCTTCATGGCTATGGTCTTTCCAAGGAGTTTTCCACTTGGTGTACCAACTATGTTACATCGCCAGTACCTGCAGTGCAAAACTGACTTTTGACCTTTGTATCATGCAACTTAATATTGTCAAGATACGCACATTAGCCCCGGGGACACAATACAGGGACAGGTCTCAGCAACAATTCACTTTGTGTCACCCTATGTACAGGAATCCAAGGCAGTCGTGGATTCTCTTGCTTCCACGCCATGGATTCCAGATCCCAGGTGCTGAATTCTGGATTCTTTGTCACTGAAACAATCATTAGAGGGATTTTGGATTCCTTGAGCTGTATTCCCAATTCCAAAGCCCAGGATTCCAGACTCCACAGCAAAAACGTACTGATTCTGGATTCCACAAGCAAAAATTTGCCCGATCCTGGAATCTGGATTGTTACTTACATGGGGTGATTTGCGTGACATGAGAATTTTCTAAAAAACTTTTGTACCCAATACCCAATTGTTTTTTGTATAACAAGTCGCACTAACTCAAGGAAATCAGGCCTGCATACATTTTTAGAGTCTTTTTAGGATGTTCTTCATTTTTTCTACAAACGTTCTGCAGACATTCGCAGAAGATCTGCTGATATAATCTATAGACTATCTGCAGATCTGCTACAGATTTCCTGGCAGCTCTGCAGCAGACTATAAACAGATCAGCTGGTCTCGCATGGGAAAATAACAGTAAAAATTGACTACAAAACCCCCAACTCACCATGCATTGAAAGGGTTTTCCTCTGGGGCTGGTCTGTAGCCAGGTTCTCGAGGGTATTTAACATGAGGCTTTGGATCTGGTAACTCACTGATTCGCTGATAAGTATCATTTAAAAAGCTGAATATGGCATCTGAAAAGATTTCGAAAATGGACACTTAATTAAACTTAGAGACAACAGGTCATGAAATGACATGAGTTTAAAGCCCTAGGTGACTAGTGGGAGAGTTGGTAGGTTCATGTCCGGGGGGGTACTCCTGGGAATTCTTGGTGGGGGTGTGCCGCTCGGTTCTTCAAATCCTGACCCAATATCAGCCCAAAAAAATGTAATTATCCACACCCATTTTCAAAGTAGACCTCTAAAATCCATATCTGTTTTCTGACCTAGCCTTTAGGCAGAAATTATGTTATCATTACTTAGATTAGGGTGCAAACACAAAACTATTCAAATTCATTTCGAATTTGCATATTTTTCTTTCTTTCTTACTCATTTAGAATTGAAACAATAAAGATGTTCATACACTCCCGTAGTTCCCTCGAAAACCCAACCTGATTTTCAGACCAAAACAGCGCAAGAACCCTATCCGATGGGGTGGCACATACCTATATGGCTTATATAAGGAAGTACCCCCCCTGGGGGGGTTCATGTGTAGCCGTCCACCTTGGTACATGCTGATATCTTCTTCTTTTATGTCAAATCCCAATTGATGAGATAGCATCCTTATTTTTTCGGTACTGGGGGACTGTATGTGCGGTAAAGATTCCTAGAAGGGAAATGCAGTGATCAGAATTTGGTTCGTGGTAAAGACACCTCTTTTGTCACAGAAGTTTGAATCTCAATGCTCGAATCCTGACAAAATTAAAGCTTATACCCTTCGCGATATGGAAACACGTTACGTCAAAAAAGCAGGGGATTATTCGATCGAATTCACTGTACTATAGCTACTAACCTGAGATCAGGCTCAATTTAATAACATTCCAGCGGGCAAGGTGAAGCGAAAACAGATTTTAGCGGTGGCCGTTAGAGAGAATGTATGAGAACCGCTAAAATTGGGCCTGACCTCAGGTTATATAGCTACTAAATTCCCTAATATTCTCATAATATTGGTCAAGCTTTATACGTCGATGTTTTCTAGATCGAGATCGAGAAATGAAAAACCACTTATTATAAACATAATAGTTGCCTTCTTCTCCATAAAGACAACGCATTGCTGGTAGAGGGAGGGAGGGGCTGCAATCTAATCAGAGATGGAATACGAAAAGAAGATGACAAAAGCCTACCTCAGTCGCACCTTCTTCCGCCATTTTGAAAGTTGCGCAGTGAGGGGTCTGAAACCTACAATGTCTTTTCACGGTGCGCGGCGGGGAGGGGGAGGGGGTGCACGGTGGGTGGGTGGTGCTGCATGAGATTGGGGTACGATTGGGGTATAAACGAAAACGTTTCTTGAAGCGATGTTATCAAGCTTATGCTGTAAGATATTTTTTTATAATGAATTTTTCAATTTATTGGGGTTATCAAAACTTTTTGAAAAATTCAACATCATAGCCCTGTTCCCCTGTATGAAGGCAACGCAAAGAAATTTTGTTTGATAAAAACTGGTTCATACAAGCTTTATTTTTCAATTTCAATTTTTCCTTGCAGTTTAATACAAAGCTAGATACATAGGTTTATAGGCTATTTAAAAGCTTCGTTAATCAGTTAAATTCCACACTTGATTGACTTGGGTACATTGAAGGATTTGAACTTGTACTTCTAACAATTTTAAGGTACCGAGAAATAACAGGATGCCTAAAATGTTTTTAGTTATCTTGACTGTCGAAGAAATTCCTCACAGCATCTGTATATATGATCAAACATTTCTTCAAAGTCCGAACTATCTCCGTAATAAGGATCCTCAATTGTTCGTTGTCCTTTAGGATCGTACGTTCCAAACAGCTTCACTTTAGCTCTCGCAGTTCCATCAGTAGGCCTAAATTCCTTCAGATCCTCCACATTACTATCATCAAAGGCCATTATGACATCGAAGTGGCGGAAATCATCTTCGTGTACCTGTCTAGCTCGGTGTGGATTCGCAATTCCGTGTTTCTTCAACACTTTTAAGCCACGACTGTCCGATCGAAGTCCGCGATGGAGATCAAGTATTCCGGCGCTATCAATTTCCCAATCAGCGCTGTTCCCTCTTTTTTCGAGAAGATGTTTGAGGATTGCTTCGGCGGAAGGTGAACGACATATATTTCCGAGGCAAACGAACAGGATTTTTCGGTCTTTGCTATCCGCCATCTTGAATGAGAAAGGTTATACTTACGTAAAGTATACATGCTTCATTAAGTAATGCTAAATTAACCGCTGACCAGGATGAAAATTTTAAAAAAATTCAAGATGGCGGGTCAAGGTGTAGGGTTCAGTGAGTTATCATCTTCATCAAATGGTTCAGACAATACGAAACGGCCAGGAACACCGCAAATAACGCCATCAGAGCTTAGTCGTCCCGTTAATTTACAAAGAATCGCACAAAGGAAAGCTCAAATCAAGACATATCCTGTTAGAAAAAAGCTTGAAAAGCTGGGCGTCTATTCATCTTGCAAGGTAAAAGTTACTTGACCTCATTTTATAGTGTATGCTCACTGGAGTGGAATGATGGAAAAATCTTTTATTTTCTTGCAAAGAACTTTTTTTCACGGCTGATGGTATTTAGGTTTCTTTGAATGTTGAAATCCTATTATGCCACTGTTCTCATTGTTTCCTGTGGGGTCACATTCCCCTTCCATGGTATTTTTTAGCTTTTTATTGTCAATTTTGAAGGTGGTAGGCATGAAATGTGTGAAGGTAAGACGCCACCACAAAACTTGCAAAGTTTTGCAGAATAACAGTGAATGTATGTTTCCAGAAAATATCCATACCTCCCCCACGGAAGACTCTTTGATGTGCACCCCCACCCCCTAAGATTTTCCATTCCAGGGGGGTCTTTGATGACCCCCCTCTCACCAGGAATTTTCAGAAGTTTTAAACGGGGACTTCTTACCACCCTCTGAAATTCAAAGTGGTTTTAGTACTTTAAAAAAAGAAGTGAATACAAACTCAGTTACGAAAACACGGTAGAATTTTATCACAACAGTGTAATGGAAGTGTAAACTTTAGTTAAGCTTATTCTTCACCTAAACTTTTAGCTTCTTCGCCATCAAGTTTGCAAGTTATGTCTGTGCTGTTTTTATGTAAAGGAAGACCACTTTTATTGTGATAAGATTTCGTGTATAGATAAAGTTGATAATGATGACGATGATGATGAGTTACCATCCCCATTCTAAACACTGATACAATGTGAAACCTATCAAAAATGTGTTTCCTGCAAGTGAAGGTAGCGAAAAGGGATACTCAGTGAACGAAGGTGAAAGCACTAAAATGTTGGTTGGATGGAAACGAGACGAAGCTAGAAGTCTGGGGACAAGACTCCAGTTATGTCAACTATTTTAAATTGCTTCAACTTCGTTCCAAAGACACATCGTTCTTCTAGAGATTGTAGTGCTAGCTAACTCAAGGAAAAACAGAAACATTTAAACTTATGATGTTAACCTCATCTCAATGGCCAGGAGCACTGACTTTTATTTCAAAAACGTATGTAAGTATGTTTTGGTGCTTCAGATTGATCGTAGGTTCGTCACCGTTTGGAAAAGAAGTTTCCCATGAACCCCCCCTCCCCCTCGGAATTTCCAATGATTTTCCATGGGGGTTGGGGGGGGGTATGGATATTTTCTGGAACCACACAATTAAGATGGATGATGGAAGTGGATGAAAGTGAATTAAGGTGGATAAAAGTGAATGAAAGTGAATGACGGTGGATAGGTGGATGAAGGTGAATGAAAATGGATGAAGATGAATGACATTGAATGAAGACCGATGAAGGTGGATACTTGTGAACGAAAGGGAAACCTCGATATAATGGAGGGCCAAGGGCAGGGTTGTCACTAAGATTTCAAGTTACCAGGTAAATATAACAACTAGGCGGGGAATCAAACAGCTAAGGATTTCTTTTGGTTCTATTTTTCTTCTATTTTTCAATGAAAGTAGCCAGGGGCCACATGAGAAACCCCGGCCCCTGGCCCTTTATGACAGCCCTGCAAGGGACTGACAAAATATGTTTGCTAAAAGAAGAGTTTTTTATATTGAGGTTCTTTTCCATATATTTTGCTATAACTAGGGATATGAATATTGTTCCATATACCCAGGACTTTGATATATAGAGGTTCATTAAAACAAGGTTCCACTGTAATGTTAACCTCTCCCCCTACTCTGCTATACAAAAGTAAGTGAAATTTTGTAACTTTGAAAAGCCACATCTTTGTTAATTTTCAACACATCACTCTTATATTTAACATTGCTTCATTGCTTTTTTAGTGCTCTTTCCTGTAATGTTGATAAATTGTCACCAACTGTAGTTCAAGCCAAAAGCTGACAAAACCATGGAGGGGAGGAGTCTTGTACATTTTTATGACTTTCAAAATAATGTTCATTCTTATGATTTAAATGTACCAATGCTTAAAATTAATGAAAGAAAAGTGACAATTTTGTGTGTGAAGAATAGAAAAAATAATAGTACCGCTTAGAGGTCTTGGCTCTCGTCTTTAGGATCACGTTGCAAGTCTTGACATCTACAATCAAGTCTCATTACATTCACAGTTGGTCATGGACTGCAAAACAAACAGTATTACTATATTTTTGGGTAGTCAAGTACATTTACATGCAAACAGTCAAAACAAAAGGTCCGGAGCAAGGCTAGGTTTTTCTCTCACTCACATGCGCTGAGTGAGTGTGAGGCTTGCAGGATTTGCGTGTGAAACTCTGATGCTATGCCAGTGCTTCAAATCGTAAAAAAAAGATTAATTTGAGAAAAAGACTGATTTTTTACAGTCTATACTGTAAGTTAGTCACTTTCTTTTCTTTCAGGCTGAGGAGTCTTGCAAATGTAATGGATGGAAGAATCCCAATCCCCCACCAACACCCAATAGAGTGGACCTCTCTCAGCCCCTTGCTAACTTGACAGACCCATGTCGCAGTTGCAGCCACACTCTTGGTGCCCACATCTCACACTTACATGACATACCTGAAGATGAACTTAATAGACTGTTGTGCATGGTAATCGATGTAGAGAACTTATTTATGTGTGTGCACAAGGAGGAAGATGCTGACACCAAGCAAGTTTACTTTTACTTGTTTAGACTTTTGAGAAAAGGAATTTTGCAGATGGCAACTGTTACAGTGGAGGGTCCCCTCGGGACACCGCCTTTTGAGAAGCCAAGTATTGGAAAAGTAAGTGGTACCCACAGTGGCTTACACATTAAATTTATCCAGTTATAATATAATTGGATTTAATTAACAGTGCATAAAGCAATGCTGCTTTTAGACTGCAAGCAGTCTCTCTTTTTCTTCAGATTTAGTCAGAGCAGTGCACGCTCGCGGGAGCTCCCGTCTCGTGCCTTCAGTCACGCGCTGGCCATTTGTGTGTCTTGCAGACTACAGAAAAAGGAGAGACTGCTCGTAGTCTATGGTGCTTTCATTCTACCAATACAGCACCTTAGAATAGGGGACGTTGCGTTTTGAAGCCACATAATTATTATTGGTACAGTGTATATTGTAGGTACTAAGTAATGTCTTTACCTTAGTTTGAAACTCACCAATACTAAGCAGTCAGTCTTGCAGCCAGGTATTTATTATAGCCATCAATGAAAACCTAACCAAAGGCATATTACTGTTAAATATCAGTAGTATAACAAGTTAATATTAGTATTATTGGATGAGTCTAAGTCTGATATAAAGAATTCTCCCAATCGAGGAGGGTGTTATGCCGACCTCCTGTCAATAACAGTCAATAACAGTAAAATATGATAACAGTGCGTGTACATTGACATCAGCAAACATCTTCCAAATTTGTTCAAGGTAAAAAGGAGATTTATATCAAACACAAATGGAATGAATATAAATGAGATTATAATATTATTGTATTTTTTAATCTCTTAGGCAGTCCTAAACTTTGTCCTATACAAATTTGGCCACCTTCCACAACGAGAATGGCAGATAATGCATGACTTGGCAAAAATGTTCCTGCATTGTCTGAATCACTGGAAGTTAGAGACGCCAACGCAAAAGAAACTTCACAGCCAAGGAGAGGATCTTGCCACCTACAAACAGAACTACACAAGGTCAGTAGACATTACTAACCTGCATAGAATTCAAAAGTGACCACACTTTTTGAGACTTTTGACAGTGACAATAATCCCTAGAGCCCGGTTCCTTTGAAGGCTGATTAGCACTAATCCAGGGTTAAGATTTTGTTGCACTTTTTGTATTTACCTTCCTATGCATTGCTTAGAGGAACATGTTGTGTTATCATTACTGTATCTCAGAGTAAAGACTCAACAGTACAGTATTTTGTGAGCATGAGTTACAAAATGTACATGTTCTTAGACAAGAAAGCCATAAGGGTTAACTTGAAAACTGGATTACTGTTTGTTCTTTTAAAAATTGTTTGTTGTAGAACTTATTTAAGTGTTTTAGAGACATTAACCCTTTAAACCCCAATATCCACATACAAATTCTCCAAACTGATCTCCATACAATCCATTTCCTTTAAGAATTAGTTGAGAGAATTTGATGGCAGATCAAAGCATTTTCTCTTTAGTGATCATTTCATAAATTCTCATAACCTAATCTCTTGACAAGGTATGAATATTGTTGGGAGAAAATTGATGGGGGTCACCATTGGGACTTAAAGGGTTTTAGTATATACACACTCAGTGATCTTGGTAATTCAAGCAATCTGATTGGTTAGCTATCTCGGACTATGACGTTATATTCACCGCGCTAGGCGGTGAATATAAAGCCGAGCAAAATCGCTGTCGTGAACTGGGTGTTTTGCCAAAGTTTCAAAGTAAAACCTGTTTGAAAATACACGAATATCCAAGTGCTGATGACTTTGAAGGCAAGAAAAGACTTCATGGTGTTTAAACAGCGTGATTTATTGTGAAGTGGTTTACTTTAGCTGACTTTTTGTACGCTCGAAGCTATGTTTACCACTACAGAGGAAAACGAGGTCGCTTTGTCACTGTTTTGTGATTTCGGGATTTTCTCGCAAGACCAATTTTGCCTATAAATAGAGGTTAATTTATGGAGAAGAGAGGAAGGCAAATATTTTCGAAAATTGTACGTGCCAGCAAGTTAACAAGGCAAAGAACTTTGGAGATAAACAACGCTTACCTTGATCGCAGCCGCTGTTGACAGCATTTGCA